TAAGCAAGAAATGTAAAGGCCGAAATTGAACTCATAATTTTATGAAAGGTTTTTTTTAGAAACTCACAATGGATTTCTGTCCAAACACAAAGATTCTAGTCATATAAAATTCCATCCTGTTAATGTAATTTTTATACATGGAAATGGACACTTTCACTGTAAGTGATCTCCCTGTATCCTTTACAGAGGCAGTGATTTCTGAACCAATAAAAGTAGGAATCACCAATGATTTCTGATTACCTATAGTGAGAGAAAAGCAAGGAGGAAATGTTACTGTTCTGTGTCCTCTGAAAGACAAGCAATGGGTCAAAGTTGCTCACTTGTTTCATTTAATGTGTCCTCAAAGCATAAATCCATTTAGAAAACATGGGCTTGATTTCGTTGGCATAGTGAAATGTTCTAAAGATTTGGACTTTAGGGGCTGTCATTTAACTTTTGAATAGTGACAAAATTTTAGTACAGAAAACTTCTTAAGTTAGTTATCATATCTATTTCCATTCTAAATTCTGAATGAGGAGCTCTTTCCTAAGTTTTATCAATTTTACCATACTTTTTATTTCTTTCTCTTTTTAGAGATAGGGTCTTGCTCTCTCACCCAGGCTAGAGTGCAGTGGTGTGATCTTGGCTCACTGCAACCCTAACCTCAGGCTCAAGCAATCCTCCTGTCTCAGCCTCATCAGTAGGAAGGCTGCAGTTGTGTGCCACCATGTGTGGCTAACTTCTTTTCCTTTTTTTTTTTTTTTTTTTTTGAGATGGAGTCTCTCTCTGTCACCCAGGCTGGAGTGCAGTGGTGCGATCTTGGCTCACTGCAACCTCCACCTCCTGGGTTCAAGCGATTGTCCTGCCTCAGCTTTCCAAGTAGCTGGGACTACAGGTGTGTGCCACCATGCTGGGCTAATTTTTGTATTTTTAGTAGAGACAGGGTTTCACCGTATTGGCCAGGCTGGTCTTGAACTCCTGACTTGTGATCCACCTGCCTCAGCCTCCCAAAGTGCTGGTATTATAGTGTGAGCCACCATGCCCAGCTTTTCCTATTTTTTGTAACAGTGAGGTGTCACTATATTGCCCAGGCTGGTCTCAAACTTCTGGCTCAAGTGATCCTCCTGCCTTCGTCTTCCAAAGTGCTGGGATTACAGGTGTGAGCCACCACACCCAGCCATGCTTTTCTTTTTTTTTTTTTCTTAAGACGGAGTTTCGCTCTTGTTACCCAGGCTGGAGTGCAATGGTGCGATCTCAGCTCACTGCAACCTCCGCCTCCTGGGTTCAGGCAATTCTCCTGCCTCAGCCTCCTGAGTAGCTGGGATTACAGGCACACGCCACCATGCCCAGCTAATTTTTTTGCATTTTTAGTAGAGACAGGGTTTCATCATGTTGACCAAGGATGGTCTCGATCTCTTGACCTCGTGATCCACCCGCCTCAGCCTCTCCCAAAGTGCTGGGATTACAGGCTTGAGCCACCGCGCCCGGCTCCAGCCATGCTTTTCAATATCTCCACATTCTCTCACGTGACACACTTGATCCTGAACACTTCTCCCCTTCACACCTCCAACTCTCTGCTGCTTAAGCCCTTCAGGGTGTTATTGCTTATAGAATTCATTCCAAAATCCCTTCCTCAGCCTACAAGAGGCTGCATGATGTGGCTTTTACCTGCCTTTATATCTTCACTGTCTGAGTCTGTTCCAGCTGCTAGAACAAGATACCACATACTGGTGGCATATAAACAACATAAATTTATTCATTACAGTTCTGGAGGCCAGGTAGTCCAATATCAAGGTGGCAGTAGATTTGGTGTCTGGTGAAGGTCCACTTTCTGGTTCACAGATGGCACCTGCTCACTGTATCCTCACATGGTAGATGGGGCAAGAGACCTCTCTTGGGCCTTCTTTGTAAGGGCACTGATCCTATTCAAAGGTCTAACATCTTTTTTTTTTTGAGATGGAGTTTTGCTCTTGTTACCCAGGCTGGAGTGCAATGGCACAATCTCGGCTCACCGCAACCTCCGCTTCCTGGGTTCAGGCAATTCTCCTGCCTCAGCCTCCCTGAGTAGCCGGGATTACAGGCACGCGCCACCATGCCCAGCCAATTTTTTGTATTTTTAGTAGAGACGGGGTTTCACCATGTTGACCAGGATAGTCTCGATCTCTTGACCTTGTGATCCACCCGCCTCAGCCTCCCAAAGTGCTGGGATTACAGGCATGAGCCACCACACCCGGCCAGGTCTCACATCTTAATACCATCACTCTGGGAGTTAGGATTTCAACACATGGTGGGGCCCAGTGGACACAAATATTCAGATTATAGCGTTCACTTCATACCACTCTCCCCAAAACAAAAAGGTTACCTCCCACTATGCTGTTCACCTTTTTGTTTCCCAAAGCTGCCAAAGCATTTCCTGTTCAGGGACTTTGCACAAGAGTTCCTCTTTGCAGAGAATTTAAGGCTCTTGTTCAGCCTTCAGGTCTCAGCTTAAATGTCCTTGTAACAAAGAGTTCCTGGTCACAACATATATAACAAACTGTAATTATCTTCTTTGTTCATATATTTTACTTATTTACTGTCTCTCCCACTAGGATGTAAACTCCATGTGGGCAGGGACCAAGCACAGATACAACCCAACTTATTCTTCAAGTGTTAGCTCAAATATTGTTCTTTGTATACTCAGGGCCTAGCACAGAGTCAATAGCTGATGAATGAATGAATGAATGAATGAAAAAGGAGTGAGGCAAAAGGCAGTGGCCTTAAAACAGACATATAAATCAGACTGAGGTTGTACAAAAAAAGTATTTCTGAAACTGAGATACTCCACAAAATCCATGGTGTCAATAATATAGTATCATTTATAGACCTTGTAGTTATTTGTTATAGGTTAAATAAACAGGGTGTCCATTTGATACTGACAGGATAGGTGAGGTCCTGAAATGCTGGTGGGACCTCAACCGTGGCCAGTGTCCAGGGTCTTGACAACATGGTAAGAAGGAATTCAATGATGAGTCAGAAAGTAGTAAAAGTACGAACATTTACTGCAAAGCAAAAAAATACACACTCAAGAAAGGGAAGTTGCAGGCATACATGAGAGAGTCACGTGTAAGGGGGTTTGAGGAGGCTACCTTTAGGGTTTTCTTTAAGGGATGGAATATTCATGAAGATTCCTAGAAAAAGGTAGAGATTTCTCAGAACTGTTGTGTCAACCATTTTTACACCAAATACAGGTGTCCCTGGAACTGTCATGGCGCTGGTGGGTGATTTAGCATGTTAGTGGGCATATAATAAGGTCCTAAGTGAAACTTAGGTCAAATCTAGCACCATGTTGGGTCCAGTCGGGTCTTAGCCAGCTTGATCTCCATTCTGGTTTTTGGGATTTTATAAGCCCCTAGCTTCTGCAGATATTTCAACAGTTTCCTTTTGCTAGTCATGTGAAACTGCTGCCTGGAATTTTCTATTCTGCAGCCACTCGGTATTATTTCTGTCTCACATTAGGTCAGGTTGCTACAAAATAAATTGCCTCAATGTTGTTCATTTAATATTAAAATTGTGGCAAAATTTTAAATTGGAAAACCTGGCAATTCTTGCCACCATCATATCAAAGAGCTAATGCTGGGAGCAAATAAAATTGAAAAGTTCTTCATACTTAAATATATGCTACGAAGTAATATCTTCAAAATGACTGTCCTTACAAAAAAAAAAAAAGGAAGGATAAAATAAGTCATTGTTTAACATTGGATACTTAACTATTGTCTACCACCATGGAGCTAGTTCTATTAAACTATACCTCTTAAGAAAAGAGTACCTTGGCATATATATTAAATGCTAAATATGCTTTAAATAACTGGTATTTATATATATGATTTAAATAATTGGTATATATAACTTCTGTTTTGCTTTACAGAATGCTAAAATTGATAAGTTAATTAATGAAATGCACATTAAGGAAGATAATGTTTTTGTTTTTTTTTTTTCTTTTGTGAGACGGAGTTTTGCTCTTGTTACCCAGGCTGGAGTGCAATGGCGTGATCTCGGCTCACCGTAACCTCCGCCTCCTGGGTTCAAGCAATTCTCCTGCCTCAGCCTCCCGAGTAGCTGGGACTGCAGGCACTCACCACCATGCCCAGCTAATTTTTTTAGTAGCGACTGGGTTTCACCATGTTGACCAGGATGGTCTCGATCTCTTGACCTCGTGATCCACCCGCCTCAACCTCCCAAAGTGCTGGGATTATAGGCGTGAGCCACCGCGCCCTGCGATAATGGTTTTTAAAATTTATTTCAAGGCACATTTAATTTAATATCAAGAGTGCAATATAAAAGGCCCAAATACAAAGAAGGAGCCCATTCCCCCATTAACACCAATGACAATGCTCTTTTAAACATGTGCCTGTTAAATGGAAGGGGGATTTCATAAAATTCACTAAAAAAATAATGCAGTGAGTCTCATCACAGCTAATATCCTTACACAATCTAGTTGTGAAATGAATGTTTATAATGCTTCAAACTGTTTAAACCTGAAGTCTGATACCACACCTTCATGTTTGTACAGTCCTCTTTAAGATTATCTACAGTTTTTGCAACCATTCAAAGAACGAACCATTGAATAAAGCCACATTGATTTAAGGCTCAAGCAAGTAATATAGAGCCCCAAACTAAATGGTTAAATATATGCACTACTTGTACGGACATCTATTATTTGATTCTGTCATAACTATTAAAAGTTGGTTCTCAGCATATAAACCTTTAAAGGCAAAATTCATCTCATTTGAGTTTTGACCCAGAAGTTCAACAACAATCATGAAGTCCACAGTCTTATTGGCAAAACTGATACACAGTGTCTCTAAGTCACTATGCTCAAGGTTAACAGTGATGCATATTCCATTTTTACATTTTACTGCAATTTTACATGTTCAATTCATGACTTAAAATCTCTAGGTTTTCATTCCTTCAAACTGTCTGAAGACACAGTGTGCCACAGACTTAAGACTTCTGTTTCTCCCTCTATTTTCTTCAAACAGAAACATTTCTCAAGTGTCTACAAGTTCTAGAAAGGGAGTTTTTCGGAGGTGGCCACTCTACAGAATAGTCCGTCGCCATCAGGCCTCTGAAGCAAGGGGAAGGGGAAGAGAAAAAGCTGAAACACAAGGTTCATCTGGTAAGTTTTACATTAACCATTACAAGCTGGACAGTGTAAGAATGTGGCTTTTTTTTTTTTTTTTTTTTTTTGGCTCAAAAAGTCTGAGTCTTGGTGTGGAAACCAGTACTTGGCTGTCCAACCACAGCTTTCTCATAGTGGGACTGTCAGGGAAGTCTTGACTGGGGAGTACGATTTGTTTACCTATCAGGTGTAAAATTCCAGGCACTCAGTTCATTTTGGGCTTGTTCCAGTTTGTCTTCAGTCTGTTCCAGCTCACCTTTCATTTTTAGGAAAAACAAGTTGATCACTTGAGTCTGCCATTGTTGATCTCAGTTGGGCAACGCTTGGCCGCTGGACTTACTTGAGGTACTGGATTTGAGTAATACACTCTTGAATCTCTTGTTCCTTGGTTGCTGGTCGCATTGCAAGGATGTTTTTCCTGCGTGCAGACTCCTGCTGCTGTTGCTTTAGTTTTTCTTCAAACTCTCTTAGGCCAGTTACGTCATTAGAGTTAAGATCCGTGTACTTGCCCTCCAGAGCCTGTACATATGCTTCATATTGTTTCCATCTTAGAATTAACTCATCTCTTGCCATAACTTTGAAGTCTGTTTCACCTAGTCGAAGCTTTTTTGGATGAGGTTCTTCGTTGGTCATCTCGATTCCTCTCCCGACCCTGACGGAAGCCGCGCCGGCACCGCTAGTCGCGGAGGCCGAGGCCGCCCTGCTCGCCCCGCCGCCTGGGCCCCCTGGGCCGCCGCGCAGCTGGACCACTCTGCCGCCGGCTCTGCGTCCAGGAAGATAATGTTTTAATAATAGTTTGTATCATTCCTGATAACAAGCTTTGACTTGCTACTGTAGAACAGAATGACCAGTTGTTATTCTTCCCCACTTCAAAAGAAGAATGCTATTCTGATAAGGATTTTTGTTATTATTAAGTGCTAACTGCCTGAGATATTTTAAATATTTACATTATTTGGTGTGTGGAAGTTAGCCTTCATAATAAGAATTTCCATTTAAATAGCTCTTTTCATTTTTTACCCAATCTGTCCCAGTTTTTAGGAATAAAACAGCAAATCTTAGCTAGGAATTTACTTTTCAGCTGTGAATGTTAAAGATCACATCAATTTTAAGGAGGCTTTTTTTTTTTTTAACTTTTACAAATTGAAAACAGTTTTCTCAACTATCAAGAAAAAACTAAAAATTGAAATCTGTTTTTTAATGGAAGCATTAAGATCATAAATCATGGCAGGCAAAGGGGAAAAGTCATCTCAAATGGGTAAAGCACAATCCTCCAAGAACAGACACTTGAGCTCAGCCTAAAGGGCGTATTTTCAAAGTGCACGTGTTGGTTTGTTATTTTAGAACTGCTCTTGAGAGCTGGGGTTATATAGAAAAGGCCTTGTTTCCATAGTCTGCTATAAATAAAATGTGAACCATGACATCGTCTCTTAAGAGAGTTTTATAGAAATACCAAGTATAGCAATTTATACAAGTACCTCTCTAAATATAAAGTCTTGGAATTGTTGCTAAGCCAGGTAATAAGGGACATTACCACTTTTGCTAAGGCATATTTGTGTGACAGATTAGACCCTGTTTAGGCATCTATTTACAGGTCAAAGCCTGCAGACCTTGAAAGGAGAAAGCAGGGAGTTCACCCAGGCTGGCCTCCAGCTCCCAGGCAGCTGTGTAATCCCACTGAACCTGTTTGGCAGCTCATGCAGCAACTGCTGCAGCTTGCAGATAAGACCCTCTTGGAAAGCCTGATAGCCCTTGTCAATAATGAAATTTCAAGAGCAACTGGAATTTTCTAAAACATCAAAACACATTCTCTGATTTGTGCTAATACCCAGTCATTACAGAGAGCCAATTGAGTAAGATTTTTGTTAAGGAAAGACAGAAGACAATTCTTTGCTTCTTTAAAACTGTCATATGTAAATCTCAAATCTTATCTTGATCATAAGCAACCATTGTTTGCTTATCTGTTGCATCATTGAAGCAAAACAAGTCATAGTAGCCATAAAAACAAGACTAACATTGGATTTCCACAGCTCTTTCAGCAGTGGGTTAGAAAGTGCCATTAAAACATAGTTGTTTCATAATTTCCCTATTAGATAAGTATTGCAAGATCCCATCTTTCACATTAGCATGAATTTTATTGCCTCTAGAAAGGCAAAATTGGTCTAGGTCAAAGGGCAAATGAGTGCCCTACCTACAACCCATAACAAAGTGAGGCTTTTAGCCAGAAGGGTTCCATACTAAAGTGTCTCGGGGAATATGGAATGTTCCTGAAATTATGCTGGGTCTATCCTTTTTGCTTTTCAAAAACCTGATCACTGAAGAGAAAATATATTTATTAAAACTAGATACCAAGAAGCCTCTGATTGTGAAATAAAAGAAAAGTTACTGTACACAATACTCAAAAAGACCATAAAGATGTTTTAGTCAGAGAAAGAAAAAGACTGTGTGGGTCGACAATGACAAGGGGCTGGAATGTAGAAGCCCAGGGGAGTCAGAAAAGAGAAAAATGTGGCGTATGTGTCTGGTGAAGCTGTATGAAACAGTGCCCTATCTCTCTGTGTCTAATCAGTCACAGTTGATTCTCATAGAGCTTTCACTGCTGTCTTTTCCCTCTAATACCACTTTAGAGGGTGAGAGGTAGAGTTCCTTTCACAGTTATGACTTAGCTTTTCTTTTGTAAACAGCTTTTCATTTGTTTAAAAGAATTTGCACATACATATGAAAGGACTCACAAGGAAATAATGAAAATCACTGTAAATTCTGTGTTGAGGCTGTAGAGAGCCAAAGTGCTCTAAAAATAATTTTGTCATAGTAAGCTGATAACCACAAAGTTCAATCAGATTTAAAGAAGCAGAATGAGGGAATAAACTGTGAAATAGCAGGTCTCAGAATATGAGGTTGTGGGCCATTGAAGAAAAAAATTAAAAGATTTCATAAAAAATATGAAAAGAAAATAAACCTTATAACAAATTTTGTTCTTTTGAATCACAGTGAAAAGTTTCTCTCTCAGTAACAAAATCTTAGTCAAATATAGCTGAGGTTTGCTACATTTAATTACCTAAGTGGCAAACTGGAAAGAAAAATTTTAAAGTACTTAAATATTTTATTGTTTTAAATCAAATTTAAATAAATGAAGAGACTATTCAATGTTGCCTAAGTATTTTCATGACGTTTCAAGTTTCTTTCTAAATTAAAATCTAATTTAACAAGAAAGTTACTGGGGATTTTCATTCACTTATTTATTTCCCCCATAATGAAAATGGCTTTAGTTTTTCTGACTACGTAAGTAATGAACTTTATTAAATAAAAAAAAAAAAAAGTTATAGACAGAAAGAAAGTAAAACTGTCCTGAAACCTCATCACCCTGTGATAACCACTGTTAATATTTTGGCAACCATCCTTTCATGCATCACAAATCTCCGTATACAATTTATATAAAGAGAATAACATGCATGCTATTCTTACTATGGTGCTTAATTTTTTTTTTTTTTTTTTTTTTTGAGACAGAGTTTCGCTCTTGTTACCCAGGCTGGAGTGCAATGGCTCAATCTCGACTCACCGCAACCTCCGCCTCCTGGGTTCAGGCAATTCTCCTGCCTCAGCCTCCTGAGTAGCTGGGATTACGCGCCACCATGCCCAGCTAATTTTTTGTATTTTTTTTTTTAGTAGAGACGGGGTTTCACCATGTTGACCAGGATGGTCTTGATCTCTCGACCTCGTGATCCACCCGCCTCGGCCTCCCAAAGTGCTGGGATTACAGGCTTGAGCCACTGCGCCCGGCGGTGCTTAATTTTTAAAATATTGCTTAGTTGGTTGTTTTCTTCATCTTTGGGAATCAATATCAAAATATGGTATAAATATGTCCTGTTCTTTTCCTATGCTCATGAAATCCGATACATATATACTCTGTGTGTCTATGTATAATAGGCATGCTCTGCATTCTGTCTATCTCATCTAAATTGTCATGGATTCCCCTCCAAAAACCCTGGATAGTTCTAAATCATTCTTTTTAGTAGCTGCGTAATTTTTCTACTGTGTGCATGAACCATAGTTTATATAATCATTTTTCTACCTAACACCTAATTTTTTACTTTTTTTCCAATGGCACGCCAGGTTGCAGTAAACATCTTTCTGTGTATAACCTTTCACACCGGTGCTTTTACATAAGTAGGAAAATTCTTCTTATGAATAGATTGCTGAGAAAAAGAGTATATCTCTTTTTAATTTTGCTTTCCAAAATACTATAACAGTTCACATTTCCACTGGCAATGTGTGAGAATAGTCTTTTCCACATATTCCTGAAAGCAGTAGCTGTTATCCCTTTTTAAGTTTTGCCAGTCTGATGTCTGTAAAGATATGCTCACTTGTTTCTTTAATTTGCAGTTCCCTGACTCCTCATGAGATTAATTGTTCTGGCATATTTTTTTGTGTTTAGAGGCCATCTTGGATTTGCTCTTACATGAATTGACCGTTTATGTCCTTTGACCATTTTTTTATTATGTTACCTTCTTAGCCTTTTGTACAGTAAAATTATTAACCCTTTATTTTTCACATGCACTGGAAATATTTTTCTTAATCTATTATTTGTCTTTTTAATTTGTCTGTGATACTGTAACATTTTTTATACTTGAGTAGTTCTCTCCTTTTACTTTTACAGCTTTTGGATTTCCTGCTAAAAAATCCCTCCAACATCAGCTGGGCACGGTGACTCACGCCTGTAATCCTAGCACTCTGGTAGGCTGAGGTGGGTGGATCACCTGAGATCAGCAGTTTGAGACCAGTTTGGCAAATATGGTGAAACCCTGTCTCTACTAAAAATAAAAAAATTAGCTAGGTATGGTGGTGGGCACTTGTAATCCCAGCTACTCAGGAGGCTGAGGCAGGAGAATCACTTGAACCTGGGAGGCAGAGGTTGCAGTGAGCCGAAATCACACCATTGCACTCCAGCTGGGTGACAAGAGTGAAACTTCATCTTTAGTAAATAAATAAATAAATAAATA